CGCTCTTCCCGGCCCTCCCACGGGTGCTACAGCGATCTCCCAGCCAGGAGCCCGGGCTGTAGCTCCCCGTTGGAGACTGCTTGTAGGATCATAGGAGAAGTAGGGCTAGGTCATCCAATCCTTGCTCAAGGCAGGCTCACCCCGGACTAGCCAAGTGTCTGTCTAACCAGCTCTTGAGGACTTCCAAGGATAGAGATTTCACAGCGTGACCACCCTCAGAGCCAGAAAGTTGCCCCCAGCCTCCAACCTAAATTTCCTCCGTTGCAGCTTGAGGCTGCTGCTCCTAGTCCTGGACCCTACAGCCACAGAGAAAAGCCTCCATCTATTGTCTCCAATCATCCTTCACGTATTTATTGTGCGTCTGAAACTCATGCCCTTCGGGGACAATACCACCCGCTTCTTAACCTCCGTGGACTTGCTCCCGCAGAGCTCAGCCAAGCAGGCTGGTGCCAGGGCCAGGAATCGAACCCAGGAACCCGGCTTCCCTTTTCCCCTTGCCGTCACCATTACAGGGGACTTTCCGGGTGCTTCAAGAAGTTCAGGGAGGTGTTACCCTGAATTTCTTGCTGCCCTTATTCCAGGCAGGGAATGGGAAGTCAAACCAGTCAGAAGAAACTCATGACAGCAGGCGTGCCCTCTCCGAGCTCAGGACTCTGGATGGGGAGAGTCCACCAGGACCCCTCTAGCCATCGTGACCGTTCAAGCCCCAATGTGCAGAGTCAGCATCTTCTTCCTGACTCAAGTTGTTGGCAGGTTTGACGGGCAGGTGGGAGCCCATGTGTGAACGTGCCCCATAGTAGGGGCAGTACATGCCCCGAGTCCGAACCCGTGCTGTGAGCCTGTCTCTGAGCATAGCAAGTGCAGACCCCGCACCTCTTAGAGCTGCTGGTGGACAAAGCCTTGTGCCCTTCACCATACGCCACTGCCAAGCGCCCTGCCAAGCAGAAAGAGCCCGCCCAGGCCCCCCAAAGCACCGAACCCTGCACCGGACCGGCAGAAGCAGAAAAGGCCATGGCGTCCCCTCACCCTCCGCCACCGCAAGTCCAAAGGGCTGCGTTACCTTCAGATAACAAGGTTACTCTCGCGCAGTCTAATGACGTACGGGTTGTTCTGAAACGAGCAAGCGGGGTGCGTTCAGACACGGGGCGGGGGGCTGAGAGGATACGGGGCTCCTCCTCCAGCATGGGGTGCGGACAGGGCTGATGAGCCGAGTTTTCACAACCCGATTCCTCTCCCAGAAGCACTAACTTGTGGCCTCTCTTTCTGGGAAGGAGGTGGGTTGATGCCCAGGACACATGGGAGCCAGGGAGCAGCCACAGATGAGTTACCTTGGCAGGATAGCAGTGTCCCCCACACCCAAATCTGGCCCTGCCTCACACCCCACAGCCCTGGGTCGTGCCACCCCTCCAGGCCCCTCTGCTTGGCCAGCCAGAGCATCTGCTCTTGCTGCAACCTGTGCACTATGGCTCCTCTCTCAGCAGCCCTACGAGCTCCCCGGCCTCCCTGTGACAGCCCCGAGGCAAGAGCTGATCTCAGCCATCCCCCTGGCACTGCCCTGGAGCTGGGGGACGAGATCTGTCTGGGCTCCCACAAGCAACGTCCCTTCGTGGCCCATGCTCCACCACCGTGATACCCGTCAGCTCAAGGAGGACACCCAAGGGGAGCTTACAGGGGATCCCAAACCCAGCTGCCTGCAGCACAGCCATTACCAAGGAGGCCAGAAAACAAAGCCAGTCTCCCAGACCCAGGGCTCCCCTCAGTCCTCACCCCGACCCGTGCGGCTCCGGCGTCATACCCGGAGACGGGTGCAACCAGCAGCAGTTTACAGCCCTGCATCCAAGCCTTCGGCATTATTAGCATGCAATGGCGTAGCACCGCTGCTGGGGACATCACTCCCCCGCTCCACCCTCCCCGCTGCTGGGTCGCCAGCTGTTTTCCTTGCTCACAATAAAACAGTTTCCACGGGGCTCCTGTCACGGAGCGTGTGCGTGCGCACAAGCATCACTGCTGCGGCAGATGGCCGTGCTGGAGCTGGGCCCCGTTCCCAGAGCCCCCGGCCGTGTCGGTCCGGACTTTGCTCGCTTGGTTCCTGACTGCTCTAGCAGGTGGGAGCTACTAGCACGTTCATCCCAAATATGCCACCTCGGGGCACCCCAGTCCAGATCACCTGAATCAGCCCGTACCCATTGGATACCCATGCTGAGGACACAGCAGAGAGGTAGCCAGGTGTCCACATTAGGCGCCCTGTTACGGTCCACATCTGACAGTGCAGAGTGGTTAAACCTGCCTGGCTCTGGTCTGAGTTTGGAAGGAGCCCTTTGCAATCGGATTTAGGGGCTCGGAGGCGCTGATCTCTGGCAGCTCCTATGGGATTGGCACCATGAGAGGGCAGCGGGTGCGATGTCGAATGCAAGTCTGCTGAATGAGAGGAGCCCTGGAGATACCGTAGCACAGGGCCCAGCAGGCTGGCTCAGGGGGGCCTGGAAAGAGCCCACAGGACCCCTTCCTCCAAGCTGGTTTATGGGGCTGTGAGTCTGCTGCCTCCAGTCCAAAACAGCAACATTTCCTCCCCTCTCCTTGGCATTGGCAGCAGAGAGGTGACAAAGGGCATCTCAGCCACTGTGTCGGCTGCACTGAGGGTGCATGCGAGGGTCACGCTCCCCTCGCTCCTGCCCAGTGTGCTCACTACAGGTCCAGGTTTTACCTCCTTTCCAGCCTTGCTTTAGAAGACAAGGGCCTGGCGAGGCCCGGGTTCAAGCAGGTGAGGAGAGAGGGACGCGAAACCTGGACCGGAGCCCTCTCACCGCCCGTGAGAGCTGGATCCCAGGTGCCCCACGCGCACAGGCCGCTCACCTCTTGCTGGCTGTCAGCCGTTTTCAGCCACGTGGACCGGGCTGCTCCATTGCTCACCAGCGGCTTCTGTTCGGCAGGGAGGCTGCAGCGGGGCGCATCCGATGCACCGGAGACGGGGCTGCATCCGGGGCGCAGCTCGTTTCCGCCGCTCTCGGAGACGGTCCTCACCTCCGGGAGGCTGGGCTTCTGCTCCGGGATGCGAGCCACCCGGAACCTGGGGGCACCGCGGTGCGTGAGTCGGGCAGGTCCCGGTACCGATCCACCCCCGCGGGGGGAACAAGGGGCAACCCCCTGCCCTCCCCTAGGGGCAGGTATACGCTGGCCCTAGGTGTGTTGCTAGCAGCAGGGAGAGCACTCAGGACCCCTGGGATTAGAGACCACTGTCCTCTGCAGCTTGAGGCCTGGCTGCCTCTGCTCAGAAGTCAACCACAGGCTTGGGAGCCAGCTCAATGATGCTACAAAGCATTGCTGGCAAAGCTGCAACCTGTCCCCATCAGGGGATCTGCATTCAAGGCCCAGATCCCTCAAAAGCCTGGACCCCTGCTGCGAGCCAAGTCTAAAAATGTGTTCCCAGCAACTCCTGCCTACACCGCACCATGTCAGGCAGGATCACAGCACCCACCCCCAAGCAGGGGCCAAGCAGGCTGCCCCTTTCTCCCGACACCTGGCCCTGGCTGGGCAAGAGAGCCCCTTTTTCCCTCTGGGCAGATGCTGACCTGGTGTTAGTGCCAAGCTAAGTGGTCGTGTGTACCAGGGCTTGCTGACCGATTGCTGCCCAGCCCAGAGAGCTGAGCTGAGCAGACCAGGGCACCTGGAGAGGTGTCCCTGTGCCGCTGGCTGACAAGACACCGAAAGCTTCCCTTGCTCCGACCCCCTCAGATGCCCACTCTGTCCCGCTCACCTGCCTACGGAGAGGATGGTGATCTCCCCAGACCTGCTAGCCTTGCCACCTGGCTTGGAGGGCTTGGCAGGGACGGTACTGGTCATCGTGGGGATGGGAGCGATGGCAGCAGCAGTGGCTGCAGCTTCAGGCGAAAGCAGCACCTCCGGCCACTTCTTCTGGCTGCAGCGGGTGCAGCTAGGGCCCGAGCGCAGGGCCAGGCCCTGCACCGTGTGCAGGTGGTGCTGGTGCCGGCAGATGGGGGGTAGCTGTGGCAGGAGGTGCAGCCTGTTGGGAGAAACACAGGGTCAGAAGGGAGGGTAGGAAGGACAGACCAGGGTCCCACCAGCCCCAGCCCATATCACCTCTGACTACCCCATGGGATCCCCACCTGCCTCAGCCCGGACCCCATGTGGGACTTAAGACTTGGCTGTAGCCCAGGACTATGCTGGCAAGTGATGCATCTTCCAGTTGCTCACTATACACCATGCTTGCCCCTTATGACAAACCCTACCCAAAACAAAAGCGTCAGTGAGCAGGGCAGCCTGTCTTCCTCCCCAAGGAGCCAGCTCTGCCATGCTTGCAGGAGCTACCAGCCCGGAGCAGCTTCTTGCAAGCAGCCCTCTGGGCAAGGAGGCTATAACAGCTCATTTGAGGTCCCTCTGCAGAAAGCCCTGGTCATTCATATGGTCACAGCACACCAGCACAGGGGCAGTTGAAATCCTGCTGCAGTCCTGCTAGCCCAGGGGTACACGGGTGCAGGGGCCGAGGCCTGTCTCTGCTAGACCGGTCCCTACCAGACCTGCGTGCGGTTCTTTACTGCAACTGGGTTCCTTGCCAGTGTGTTTTGCCCAGGGAGACCCTTGGGGCAAGATGCTGTGCTGCGAATTGCTCCTCTCTCACCATGGCTGCAACACCCAGGGCTTTTCATGGTGCTAAACGGGTTCCCAGCAACTCCTGCCTCCGCCAACCTCCACTGAGCCTGTGCATCATCCAACCTGCCCTGTGACAGACCCCCGGAGCCAAGGGAGGCGGTCTTACTTGTTAGTGGACTTGTGGGTCGTCTGCACCACCTGCTTGCTGTGATAGTCCTTCAGCAGCTCCTCCAGGGCAGCGGCGTTCTCTGTCGGGGCCAGAGCACCAGAAAGGACCATGAGCTGCCGGCTGGATGCATTTTGCGAGCCCCATTCAGGGGTTATAAAGGCAGCAAGTGGATTTGTCTGGGATGGTTTGGATGGGGCCGATCCTGCCTCAGGCAGGGGGTTGGACTCGATGACCTCTGAAGGTCCCTTCATGCATATGGCTCTATGAATTCGTTACCCAAGCTTGCCAAGGTGCTGTTGAAACTTTGCAGTGACTAAGGTTATACTAAGATTTGTAATCCTGTTGCTAGGAAAAAGAGATGTAACCAGGCATCACCTTGTTTGGGCACGAGTGAAGTGTGATGGGGAGCGTAGGGTTTTCAGCCAAGAGGTATAAGGAAATTTTAAAGCATGCTTACATTGGATTAGCCAAGTCAAGCTCATACAAAGGTAAGAGTAGAGACAGACTGGCCAGACATGCCTTCAAGCCTGCTGACCTGGAGAGACTAAGGGCTGTCTGATCCACGCTCTTGGGACAGAGCAACCGCTTAGCCGGGTAACTAACCCGTTGCTTGTTAATGCATTTTGTTCTCTCTAAATAAATGTGCTGGATAACTGGGGAACGCTTGTGTCTCTTTATACATCTCACCCCTGACCACGCCTGAAGCAGGGAACAGCATCTGCGGGACGCGCAAAGGTTGAACACCATTCGGACAAAAGACGAGGAGATGGTGCCGGAGCTGCACGCGGGAGGCTCTGGCAGCTGAAGAGCGACGGGTCGGCGCTCTGAACATTTCCCACCTCTGCCCTGAGCATAACCGCATGAGCCGGGACCCTCCGGCTCTCTCACAGGGTTGGAAAGACCCTCCAACCCTCCACTGGGTTGGAAAGAGCCCTGCCTCCCTCGCCACTGACCTTTCTTCTCCGTGATCAGCCGCACCAGGACCCCGATGGTGTCTTCATTGGCATCGTCTAGCCTGTAGGTAGAGCTGCTAGCTGCAGAGAGAGACATCAGGGTGTGAGCATCCCATATTGCCTCCAATGCACAGAAATACCAGGGCATCTTATCGTCTTGTCTGTGCTGGCCTTGGGGCCACACAGAGGTCCACAGGGTCCTGCCTGTTGTGGAGGTGGAGGAATAAAGGCTTGTCTCAACGGCTTGGCCAGGGACAACCCCAGTGTCCCGAGTCTGCTTCCCCTGCTTTAAAGCAAGCGGAGGAGCATGGAAGTTGTTTGCTCCCAAGCGACACCCAGTCTCTTGGACAGAAAGAGACAACCTGGGGCATCCAGTTCGGTCCTCCCCAATCCCAGGAAACCATGCAACAGCCACGGACACTTTGGCACTCAAGAAGAACATCCCCCCAATGCCAGCTCCTGCCACGAGCTTCAAAACACCCCCGAACCCTAATCCTAGAGTCCCTGCCCCCACCGACCACGCACTATGCTCCAAATTAGCAGGTGCCAAATGGAAGGTCTCAAATCACCCATCTTTTATCGCAGTCACATCTCCCAGAGGCCCCAGAGCCCACTGCTCTGCATGGATGCAAGGTGCTGTACATGCACGATCTTCCTAGCTGGAAGAGCTTACGGTCTCAATCGCTCAGACAAAGGGCAGTATGACCCCTGTCCTCCAGGGCCTAGAGGGTTTAGTGACTTGACCAAACTCACGCAGGACACCTACAGCACAGCTGGGACTGAAGCGTATCCACATCCCCATTTGGCTGTTATCAGGCAACAGAGACTGCCCGTGTCGGGGTTGCTTGGGTGTGGACCAGCCCCGGTGCAGCTGGCCCTTCTCAGGACTGCCCGCAAGAGAGCAGCCCGGTCGCAGATCCTAGATCCAGCCTGGTTTCGGACGCAGCTTGGGCCCCTCTGCCAGAGGTGGGTAGGACACCTCTAGTGCTGCCCCACACTTCACCTCTAGCCCCTGCCAGACTTAATCGTGGCCTTGCTCATGCCAATTGGTGTTGGTGTCTGTTTTAGAGGTGGGGAAACCGAGGCACAGGGGGCAGTGGCAGAACCGGGACTAAAACCACGGTCTCCAGAGATCAGGGTCTCTGCTCTGCTTTACTTTACTAGGCTGCCAACAAGATCCTTCTTCCTCCTTAAGGGTCTATTCTCCTGGGCACCTGTTTGTAACCTCTGGCAGGCACCCCAACACCCACCCGTGTCAACACAGCTGGCCACAGGCGAAAGGACCCCCAAAGCTGCTGAAGATGCAGCTGGATAGCGAGTGTGGAAACTAGTGGGGTTGAGCATCCTTCAAAAAGCAGCTGTGTTTCTCTGTGCCTCAGTTTCTCCAGCTGTGGAATGGGGTGTGCGGTCGTGGTTGGAAAGCACACGGGATCGTAGCAATGCCAGCTCCTTGGTTAGAAAGCCCTCGTCAGGAGGTTTTATAAGCCTGGGCTTTGCTGTGCACATCTCCAGCACCCCCCTCTCGTATCCCGTAGGGCAGCTTAACTGTAGCCAAGTCTGCTCCAGAAACTAGGTCAGCACTGGTTTCGTCTCGTCGAGCCCAGCAACAACCGGTGCCGCAAGCACCAGGGACCCATCTTCATGGTCGTCATGGCGACATGCGCGCACGTCAAGCATTTTGGGGTTATTTAAACTTTCACTTTTCTCCCAAAACACTGGGGGGGAGAGGCATGCAGGGCAGCGAGGAGCACGGCGGGCAGAGCAGCCACGGGCTCTTGGACGACGACAATGCTGGGCAGAGGCAAGCTGCTTCAGGCGGTGCCTGAGGATGCAGCCCAGCTGTGCCACCCAGGTGTGCTCTGGGCACAGGCCGGCATGCAGAGGAAATGGGTTGAGCAGGGCACTCGGTATTCAGACGGTGCCTGAGGATGCAGTCCAGCTGTGCCACCCAGGCACCGCTGAGCAAAGCGCCTCTCTCGAGGATCTCCCAGTGAATGGGATTAAAGAAGAGAGGGCGCCTTCAAACAAGCCCGTTGCTGGTAGAGGGACAGCGACGTGCCACCTAATCTTGCTGTGCCCAGGGAGGAGTCGTGCTGGCAGGCCGGGCACTTTCATCTACTGGGTGATGGAGAAGTGCCAGTCATTCCCAGCATCAAGGCCAAAAATATATGTACCCGTTGCTGGAAGTGACCAGCAAATCTAAGCCAGCCACAGGTCAGCCCTGGGCAACTGGGTGGGGGAACAGACCAGTCTGGGTTCCTATGGACAGAGGCCTCTGGGTGACTCGAGCATTGCTTGTCCTTGCTATGCAGGCCCCCAAGAGTCAGGAGACACTTGGTTAACCCTCACATCATGCCCTGTACTGCATGGGCTATGCTTGGCACAGCACATCTAACAGCTCACACCCTCCGCAGCCTCAAGATCTCTCCGATTCGGAGACAGCATTGCCAGCAAGTCCCTCAGCACCAATTTTGCGCCAGTGGAAAAGAAACAGGCTAGGAAGAGAGAAGAGGGTTTTATCATTCAGCTCCCTGGGCCTGGCCTGGGGTAGGGGTACAAATATACCTTGTGCTCCCTGCTGGAGAAAAGCCCAGGAGAGATGCAGCGAGTCAGGAGGGAATCGGTCACATTGGCATGTGCTGACATAAGCCATCCAGAAAGAGAGCAAAGCAAGCAGATCCATTTTGGGGAGCTTATTACTAGGTTTGGGAACAAGTCTGTGCCCCAAACCCCAAAAGGGGCTAGTGCTAGAGGGTAGGACCAGCAGCTGGGTGGAGTGAAGACCCCCCTTCCAGCACACCCACCCAACCTGCAAAGCAGCCAGAGTCTCTGTATGGAGGCAGGTATCCAGGTTGCTGCTGTATTAGTCTAGAGGCAAAAGGAATCAGGACTTGTGGTAGAGGTGATATTAAATTAAAGTTCTTTTGCAAAAATCTAGTTGGCCTAATCAAAGGTATTACCTCTACCACGAGTCCCGATTCTGTATGGAGGCTGCACTTGTGGACGCAGGAGAGGGGCAAGGGGCATGCAAGGCTCGGACAGACCCAGGCCAGGATTGCTGGAAACCACAAACTCTCCTGGGGTTTAGGTCAGTCCTGGCTCTGGGGGCTTAGCTCATGACCTGTGAGCTCCTGGGGTTGCAGAGCGGTTACAGGAGAGGAACTGGATTCCCCAGGCAGAGCATGCACGCACACATGCATGCTACACAGAAGGGCACGGTGCTTAGCAGAGCCGTGCTAGCCTCTCCACTAGCACACCTGGCAGCTTTGCGGTAGGGAGAAAGGGGTCTCTGCTTTCTCTTCTCCCCTCCAAGCTGCAGGGCCCAGCCTCCTCCGAAGGACAGCCAGCCCTTGTGCCCTTGCTGCTCGCTCCTAGCCGCTGGGACTGCAGAGGCAGCTCTTACTCAGCATCTCCCGCAGCGTGCCCTGCCCTTGAGGCACCCTGCCGAACAAAGCTTTGTTCCCTGCTGCAGAACCAGTGGCAAGGACAAAACTCATGGAGCCTGGGAAGTCCTCTCGCCCCCCTGACCCCCTCCCTGCTTCAGTCAGGAGGCTCTTCAAAGGAGACTAGGGGATTTAGGCACACTGCTAGGACCAGAGGGTTTGGGTGGACATCTATATTCAGGGTGGGAATGAGGTATCATTGGGGGCTTCCCCACAGAGGCAAGGAGGGTGCAAAGCGCGGTGGATAACACCCTGGCCTTCCCCACCTTTGGACGCTGGGTAGCCCAAAGGTCTGTACTGACCATGGCCACAGCCAGCACTGCTGTCCCAGAGCGAGCTGCCGGGACAGGCCTGATGCCATGTCAGGGGGCAGACACTGCCCTGGTGTCTGGGAGGGAGCGTGAGCTGGCGATCAGAGCAGGGGCAGGGGTAGGCATGCCCGCCCCTGCCACCAGAGGCCTTGGCTGGTCCCAAACTGTGTCCCAAAGGCTCCCAGCCAGCCCCAGGCTTCCTCCCAGGCCTCCCACAGCTTCCAATTACAGGGGCTGTTCTTGGTTCGCCTGTCATTTAGAGAGCACAGAGCCAAAAACAGGCTTGGTGTCTGTTCCTTGCTCCTCGGTTGGCAGGATGGAGCTGGGGACTAAGACGCTCATCGCCCCAAGGACACTGAACAGCTCCCCACCGCCTCCTCCACCCAGCGCAGCCCATCCCATACCCCAGGGCAGGCAGGGTCCCCGGGGTCTCAGCACCTTGGCCTCCACACTGAGGGGCTGCCAAGGTGCCCAACCCTCTGCACTGCCACATGCCACCCTGCCCACAGCACGGGTGGGCAGCCTGGAAGCTGATCTTCTCCTGCACCCAAGCTCTTTGCAAGCCGGGCCCTATTTGGGACTGGTCTCGCGGGCCACAGATCACAACTTGGGGGTTTCAAGAGAAGCATGAAGGGGCACCAAAGAGGCAACATACCCGGAGCGGGGCTGGGGGAGAGGTCTGGCCTGGGTTGTACCTGGGGAGGAAGAACGCGTCGGCTCCGGACACCCGACGCCACTTACCGCTCCTCTCAGGCTTCGTCGCCTCCTCGTCCGTCTCCTTGTGCGCCGTGCAGTGGTAGCCCTTCTTCTTCAGCAGGTTGCAGACCAGGATGCCCAGCAGCCCCATGACGCAGAAGACCGGCACGATGGCCAGCACGGCATACTGCGTGGCGCTCTCCTCCGGCTTCCCGCCCTGCGTGCCGTTGGACGCCTTCTTGTCTGGTCTCTGCAGCGGGTCAACGTGCCTCACCAGCCGGGTCAGCCCCACCTTGGAGCCTGGGGAATGGAAGAGAAAGCCCCAAGTCAACCCAAGAGCAAGATGGGCCCGGAGTCGGGAAACACCCTCTCCCCTCCCTTTTTGTGGTTTCCCCAGTGTGGGGTTCATATCAGGAAACATTTGCAGGTTTGCAGTAACAGAAAAAACAAGGGGAGGGGTTTGCTTTCCATTTTTCCTTCAAAAATAAAATATGGTTTCTTTTTTTGCTAGACAAATTTTAGAAAAAAGCTAAGACTTTTTGCAATGTGCTGCTAGAGGCCATTTGGCGGTTTTCCCAGCCAACATGAGGGTCCCAGAGCGGCCGGGACAGGGCCTGGATCCCTCTTAAATCCCAGCTGCCAGCAGCAAGGTGCTCCCAGATCCCCGCTCCTGCCATCAGGTGAACGGGGAGAGGGACACATTGCAATTGAGACTAGAATAGCAGGTAGGAGGGTATCAAAACTGAACGGAGCCTCTCCTCCCACAGACTCAGGGAGCCCACACCTGGCTCTTCGTCCCAGCAGGTACTGGACAGTCCCACCAGGTTGTGCCCAGCCAACATGGCAACCCTGGCACCGAGCGTGCTCTTGGCGCCCCACAGCAGCCTCTGTCCTGTCTGCAGTAACAGGTAGGGAGCCGCTTGTCTGATGCTGGGTGGAGCGTCTGCCCCGCTGGGCACAGGCAGGGATGAGGAGGGGAGATTGGTGACTCTGGGGCTGAAGGACCGGCTTTTCCTGCCATCCCCACAGAGAAGGCAGGTGTCCTCCGTAAGTCCCTCAGAAGGGGAGCGCTCCGAACCTCGGGCGGGCAATGCCAAACCCAGCGAGGGCGCAACCAGTTGAGGCTTGTCCAACGGGGACCCCAGCTGCTCGGTGACTGCCTGGGCTTATGTAGCATCCCACGGTCACACCGTCTGCCACCTGGGAAATGATGGCTCCCTGGGGACTTGACAAGCCACGGTCTGTGCTGGTAGGAGACAGCACCCAGCGCTGCTGCCCTTTCCACAATCAAACGCAAGCAACAGAGCAAGGTGCACGACCACCTCCCAGGTCCCTGCGGCGGCAAACAGCGCCAGAGCAAGCGAATGGTCTGGACTGCTCCAGGCCATGGGGAGGAGAAGTGAAACCCACAGGACCGTGAAGACAAAAGCCACGGGCAGAAGCAAAGCAGGGGCCATGAACCAGGCCCAGCAGCAAGTCGTGTGCCACCTGCCTGGGGTGAACGGCTCCGTCACCTGGGCCTCGAGCCCTGCCAACCCCGTTTGCGGAAGTGGGGAGGGAGGCAGCCAGACGCTTCCCAGGGAAACAACCTAGTGAAGACCCAAGGACGGTCCAAGCTGCTGAAGATGCCCATGAAAAGCTGTACAAATAGCACGGTCCCACCTACCAGATCCCAGGGGTCTCTGCATTTGAGGGGCCGCGATACTTGCTGCTGGCTGCTTTGTGCCGAGGCAGCGCGTGCGCGGCGTCCTGCCCCTCCTTTGCCCTGGCCATCCACGGAGCTACCAGATACGTTCATTCGAGCAGCCCGTAGTTTCCCAGCTGGTGAGCACAGCCTTGAAAAGGCTGGCTCCTCGACTAGCAGCTGCCAACGTCTGAGCTCTTCTCTTCTCCGCCAGGCCTGCTGCTGCAGCCAGCAAGCCGACGCTGCTGCAGTCCCGGGAGCGGCCGAGATGGAGGCTGACCCTCATCAAGTATCGTGGGCAAAGTGCCGTTTGCCCAACGAGCCTGCTCGAAGCTGGGCTGGCACCGATTATCACACTAGCGGCTCCTGGAGAGACGAGCACTGTTGTGCCCCCGTACCCATTGTTCACTGCTTGCAACAGATACCTCTCTGTCCATGACCCGCAGCACATACGAATCAAAGGGCATTTGTACACATGCTTGCACCATGCGCCGGGTGCTTTTAAAAGCACCTGGCGCTGCAGCGCATGCATTCGTACGAACAGCGAAACGTGTGACCTAAACCAAATCAAAGGCTTTTTAGTTCAAAAAGGGCACCCCTACCATTTTCTGCACGTGGCAGCCAGCACGGAGGGTCTGACGAGCCAACACCAGGGTTCCCCAAGAGAGGAACCTGTGTTTCCATGCAGACAGGACATGGCTTGGTCTCCCCACACCTACGTTAACACACTGAATTACAACCTGCCAGTTCAAAGAGGATGCCACATATGCCCAGTAGAGCACTACCCCCCCACACACAGAGATGTCACCTCTCCTGCAAAGCATTTATCTTGGTACCACAGGGAGATGTTAAAGCCGCTACTGGAGCTTTGGCATCCGATTTCTCACACCTGGCCTGGGCCCAATGATTTATTTTGGAAGCTGTGAAAATATTAAGCCCAACAGAAGGAGGAAGAGCCGGGTGAGAAAAGCACGTCCTCAATGAGGGTGGAAATCAGCACCACTCTCACCCCCAGCGGTGCCAACAAGCTGATGCCAGCTGGGATCTGACTGAGTCTGCAAATACAAGGTGCCAACAATGCAACATGGAGCTCCTCACATAGCTCCTCTGCCAAGGCAGTGCTCCAGGACCATTGGCACCATGCTAGGCCCATGCGCAGTGCACTGGCAGGCACGCGCAGGGGTGGTGATCCCCCAGGAGAGGGCTGCAAGGCAGGGAGCACTGATCTCTGGGGAGCGCCGGCAAGAGCAGGGTGAGTTTGTGCTGCTCCTCTGTCTCCCCTCAGCCTGCAGGCTGGCACTTAATCTCAGAAAATGAGGGTTAGAAGGGACCTCAGGAGATCATCTAGTCCCCCCTGTTCAAAGCAGGACCATCCCCCACTAGATCATCCCAAGGTATTGTCTAGCCGGGTCTTCAAAACCTCCAAGGAAAGGTATTGTCTAGCCGGGTGTTCAAAACCTCCAAGGATGGAGATTTCACCGCCTCTCTGGGTAACCTGTTCCAGTGCTTCACGACCCTCCTAGCGAGAAAGTATTTCCTAATATCCAACCTCAACTTCCCTTGGTGCAGCTTGAGCCCATCGCTCCTGGCCCCGTCATCTGCCACCGGCGAGAACGGTCCAGCTCCTCCTCTTTGCAACCCCCCTGTGGGAGATGAAGGCTGCTATTCAATCTCCTCTCAGTCTCTTCTCCAGACTAAATCAGCCCAGGTCCCTCAGTCTCTCCTCACAAGTCATGTGCTCCAGCCCTGCAACCGTTGTCACTGTCTTTAATTTGTCCACATCCTTTCTGTAGCGGGGGCCCAAAACTGGAATAAAATACAGGTCCCTGACGTTCCAGGCAGCCCCTGCTATTCTGCACTTAAGAGATGCTTTTCTTATGGCTTCAACCCATCCCTGGGGAGCAGCAGTGCTGGGGGGACAGAGGGATCTGAGCAGAAAGGGCAGAGCAGCATGGGGATTTGGGTCTATGGCATCCTCCAGCAGTATCTCAGGTTTGCCCCTGTGACTTCTCTACCTTCTGCCACCTCCACAACAGAGATCCAGAGTCACCTCGGCCACCGGAGGATTTTTAGATCTCCAGCTAGGAAGCAGGTTTCTGATGCCCAAATGCAACAAAGCCGGAGCTGGGCGCAGGGGGTTACCAGCCTGATGCAGGAGGAGGAGAAGGGACCTGTCAGTTTAGTAAGAGCAGAACAAAAAAAAGAGGGGAGGAGAGAAAATACTCTTCGGAGCACGTACCTGGCACTAACCCTCACTTCACACTGAATGGACCAGCCACACTTCCAGCTGCATGCTAGACATTTTTGTGAGGGTGAGGTGGGGTTAACACCCTACCCTCGTGCCATGGGAGTGTCAGTGCTCCTCCACGATCTAGATTAAAGTCTTAGGTGTTAAAGACAAATGGGTTTTGCTATAGGTGCTCTGGAAAGGCCAACTGGGACCCTGCTAGGATCTGAGCCTACTGACCCAGCAGCTTGCAGGCATGAGCCTTATAGCACCTGCAGGCGATCCCCGAGACACAGACATGGCACAAAGCAAAGGATGCCAACAGACTCCTCTCATGCTTATCCGAGATGCCTCAGCCTCCTGTGAGGATCAGCCGCCCAGCAAAACCGTAGCACCTTGAACAACTCATTGGAAAGTTGCCTCTCTCTCCTTGCCCAAACAGGCCAGCCTGGCCCCAGGTGCTCCCTGAGTCTCAGCCCCGTCAGATATGGCAGGTGAATCACGCCCCCACTTTCTACGCACACGTGAGATTGCCTCCCATCCGAACGCACCTCCTATTGCAACACGCACTCCAGGACTCCTGTCTCAGGCGGCTGGTGGGACTTTCAGGCAGACAGGCATCCACTCGATTGGGTTTCTTTCCAGGAAGCTTTGTGCATGGCATGCAAATACCTTGCTATCTATCCTGGCACTTGCAATCCTAGCCTGCATGGGCAGCACCCGCCCCCCCGGATGCAACCAGGCAGAGGCGGCAAAGCCATGGAGGGCACGTGACTTGCTGCTCACCTGACATGGGCTCGCGTGAGACGAGTGGGCACTCATGGGACCAGACAAGTGCAGCCGCTGCTGCAACGCGTTTCGGCTGTGACCATAATTACTAACCCCAGCCATTCCACCCCGCCCCCGCAAATTCCTCCGTGGCTCCTTCAAGGGCCTCCGGCTTCCCATCCTGACCAAGGGAATAGCAGTGCTGCGCGCTGGGACAGAGTCTGAGGTGCTGCGTCCTAGACAGGGCTGCACTGCAGCCATCTCCTGCTCCAGTGCACAGACCGGTACAGCCCAGGGCCTTGCAGCACCCAGCAAGTGCAAACAGAGCAAGGGAGACCCTCTCTGCCCTCAAGGAGCTTGCTGACAAGGCAGAGAGATGTCAGCAGCAAGAGACTCACGCTTGGAGCCCAACTCCAAATCTGCCCCCTTCGCACTTCAATCCAGATGTGCGCGAGCAGCCACATCTGGCCCAAAGTCTCTGCAGAGACAGAAAGGGCTTTCCTAGGCGGTTTTCTTTGTAGCCCGCTATCTATTGCAGTAATTGCCAACCTTTTCAGGTTCGTCCTCAGACTGGAGGCCCCCTCCACAGCTTCTGGGAATTGAACGGCACCTCATTTCAAAGAAATGATTGATTGATTGATTGATTAATTAATTAATTAGAGGGCTTACCTCCTTGCTGAGGGGGCAGGCAAGGCAAACCTGAGCTGAGCCTGCCCTTATCTGCTTATATCCTCACACCTCCTGCAGCACCCTTCAAAAGGACCTCCTACACTCTGGTTGAGGATCCCTGAGCTACCGTCTGCCCTCAGGTGCTTTAATGACCCCCTGGCACAAAGAGGGCGTTGTGAGCTGCATAAATACCTATAGCTCTAAAACAGCTCCGAGAAGGCACAAATGGCAGAAAGGAGAAAAAAAACAAAAAACCACGCTCCACTCCTTGCCACAAGCAGCTCAGTGGATTCCCAGAGGGAAGTGGGTAGGCAGGGGCAGCTCCAAACGCCAAGGAGATGGAGAGCAGGATCCCGGGCGCCTGGTAATCCCCCGCAGAGACCAGAGGCCCTGAAGGGAAGGACAATACCTATGACCTGCTAGAGGAGACCCTTGGCAGCGGATCAGATCCTTGTCCCTCCCTCTCTGGTTTTGCAAAGAGCCAGAACCATTCCCTCCCCTCCCAGAACAAGGAAAGCACAGAGGGAACAGAGCTGAGCCAAGAGAAGAGCTGGGAGTTTTGGCAACAGAGTCCATCAGACCCAAGCTCCATCCCGGTGGTGCCTCCAGAAGGGGATGATACGAGTACAGACCTCTCCAAACCTGGAGGCCTATCGCCTGCTTCTCCAAGCCTTAAGAGCTGCCTGGCTGGCTCCAGCATGGTCAGGCCATTTGGAAACAGGCTTCTTGTTATCAGGCAGGCTCTGTGGCACTGGCAGGGAGACGGGACCATGGGTGGATGCTTCCCCCGCTTCTCCGATGACAGGGATCTCTAGCTGCACATGGTGGGTTGGTGAGCAGGCAGCAAGTCTGCTTTGGGGGGCTGGCAGGGCAAGGCATTCAGGGCAATGGACCAGCTGGACTCACAGGAAGACAGTCTCAATGAACAGCAGAGAGGGGTCTCCTTGCTCCCTGTGTCTTCCCCTCTCCCCTGACCCTTCCAGACACAGGCCATTCACAGCCTCGTATGCAACGGCTGTTGCTTCCTTCCCCATCCCCGGCACTGACCTGGGCACCCCGGTATGCCTTCGGGAGCAGAGGCGCACGGCAGGCATTCAGCGGTGGGGTCCATCTCCCCTTCAGGGCTGTAAAACCTGCCGAGATTGAAGAGAAGTTAGCAAGGGAGTGGAGAGGCGGACTGGAACAGCACCTGGGCATTACTGGGGAGGTGCAAGGTCACTTGCACACCTACCGCGGAAGCAGCTACTTTCCCACCACATCCTTTGCTAGCCTCTTCCTGTCCCAACACAAGCATTGCTCTGCACTGTTATCATGTGCCGCATTCCACCCCAGAAGTGGCTGCATTTCAGAGGTGGAGTGAAGTTAGCCAGTTCATTTGCGGCTTATGGAAACCTCCAGAAGGAAAAGTGCAAGATTTTCCCAGGGAAAAGTGGGCAGAAACTCACTTCCCCCTTCTGCAAGCGGCCTCCACCCAATGCTATTGACTCAGCAGATTTGCATCTGCTCCAGTGCCTGGAAGAAGCCGGAAGCAGAGAGAGGTGACTAAGGGAGTCGGCTCCCCTCCGCCTGGAGCACAAACTGGGTGAGTTCAGCCAAAAGCTTCCCAGTGACTCAATTTGCAGTCACCAGCTCCTGCCCCCTCCTTGCTCAGCAGCTTGGAGAGTTTGTGAGGCTGCTGTCCAACTCGGAGCCTTGCTGCTGGCTTCGGTGATGCCAGACCCACTGGCCCGTCTCAGGAAGGGTCAGAGCCAGGCACCCCATCTCCACAGGCCCACAGCAAGGCATGGGCCCTGCCTCCAGGAACAAGCAAGCACGCAGCCCTTTCCAGAGCTGCAGATGCACTGGGGGACTGCAGACATGCAACCAACAAGTTCAACCCTGGGGTGGTGGGGAAGAAGGAGGCAGTCGGTCTTACCTGCCCCGGGGACTCAAAGCCCCTGGCCACTGTCACCTGCCTGCCCCTGGCTACTGATGCTGCGGTGTCTTGCACCCAGCTGCTACTGCATGACATGGGGGCTGCTGGCATCGGGCAAAGACTCCCCAGGCAGCTGCCACTTCAGTGCCCCCTTTAAGTTAGTGTCCAGGACTGGTGCCCTGCATGCCCAACCCCAGTGACGCGACTGGGAGCGAAGACCCCAATTATGCAGGTACCCAAAGGCAGACAACAGAGGCAGAGCAGTTAAGGCGATTGCTGCCAACCCAGAGATGATGGAAGACACTTCCCAATCCACCCAGCCGTGAGTGGGCACTTGGTACCAGGCAGGGAAACCAAAGCTGGACCCACGGGATTGCTAGCCACTTCAGACACGGCCGGGCCTTAACCGAGAGCCACCACAGCCCAGGCTGAGCCTTGAAGTGGAAAAGGCCACGCACCAGCAGGACCTCACTTGCCATCCCCTACATGAAATAAAGTATAGATAAACGGTATATAAAGCGCGGTTACCCTGGCACGCAGTCTCCACATCGACTGTCAGCTGTAGCTGTCCCAGGACTGGCAGAGACCCTCTTCCTGGCTTCGCAGAGGGTATGAGGCAAGCAAGGTGCCACTCCATGGCTGGCTGAGAAGGTGCTCGGAGAACAGGCTTGACAGGTCACCCCCAGGCCTTGCCCAGAGCCGCACATCTGCAGGCACCCAAATGAAGGAGTCAGTGGTGCGCGGTAGGAGACACAGTGGCTATCTGTGCTCGGGCGTTAGGTGTGGTGCTGGGAAGAGCTCCCAAGACCACGGGGCTGTCCCACCTCCTCTCCCAACTGGACCCAAGTCTGCATGGGGCATCGTGCCTGGGTCTCTGCCACGGCTGCCCTGTTAGCACTGATTGGGGCTAGTGCCCCACGGCTCAACAGTTACTGCCAGGAGAGGGCTTCATAGCCCTACTGGGGCTCGTCGGATCGAGGGCTAGGAAGGACAGACCTGCTCATCCCCACACAGCAAAACAGCCCTGCCCCAAGAACTGCCCTGTCGCCTGGCACGAGGGAATCGCGGCTTACCCTGTCTGGCTCCTCTCCCGGGGGGCAGGCCTTGCAGGGAGCGCAGTTGCCCTCTGCGGTCTGGTACTCCTGTTCCCCACATGCCAGCACCCATGCCAGGTGCCCACTCAGCAGCTGGAAAGAGATGGATCAAATCAGTGCCCCAGAGCTCTCCCAGAGGTCGCGCGGGGGGGGGGGGGAGGCGGGCTCGTGCCGGCAAAGCGACCCCAGAGCCCTCCCAGAGGTCGCGCGGGGGGGGGGGGGTTGGTGTCTTTAGACACCAACCCTAACCCTAACCCTTCCAGCTAGGCTCAGCATCGCTGTGGGGTTGAGCAGGAATAGCCTGGCCGTCCTGCCGGGGCTAGGATGCTCTGCTCCAAACACCACAGCAAACAGAGACCCTTCCCAGTACCAGTGCTGGGTCTAGCGCAGCGCCCAGTCATCGGGAGAGTGGGCCCATGCTCTAGGGTAGGGGCGGCCAACTTGTGGCACGGGTGCCTTAAGTGACAAGAGCAGCCTGTGTATGTGGCACGAGGCAGATCAGGAGGGGACAAGGAGCCAAATCGCAGCTAGGGCAGGGAGCGGAAAGCAGAGCGGCAGATCAGGCAGGGAGCAAAAAGCAATGCAGCTGATTGAGCAGGGAACAGAAAGCAGAGCAACAGAACAGGCAGGGGAAGGGGATGGGGGTGGCACACCTGCAAAAAGGCTGCCCCCCCCGCATTGTTCAACCCCCAGGACCTGGTCTCAGACCCCATGCCCGGGAGTCTGTGCTACACCCTCAGGGTAGCAGGGACTGGCAGAAGCCAGGGATGGACGAGGCCCAGCAGGCTACATTTAGCCCCTACTCCTACCCCAGGCAGGGCAGGTCTTTCCCCTACCCCCCCCGAGTCGCCAGGTCACCCTCCGAGCTCCCACTAAGTGTCTGCAGCGAGGAAGCGGCCAGCACTTTGCTTTGGAAGCAGTTACATCTGCAGGTCCCCAGAGACCGATCGCTCCCCGCCGCCCAGCTCCTTTATCAGCTATTTCCATCACCAAAAATAGCTCCCAGACAGGGAGCAGGTGCAGATATCCAGACACCCAGAACCACTCGGGACTCCTAGGACAGGCCGCCCGAGCCCACAGAGCGCACCGGGCCTGGGCTCCTGCCCCTGCTGAGGCACGCACCTCTCCTTCCAGGGACCTCTGCCCAGCAACCAACTGATCGGATGCTGGAAGTGCGGGGGACCCAGCACTCATCTGGGTCTGTTTTAGTGGGCATTCACTCTGCCCCCAGGATGGAGGCACCGGGCAGTCGCAGGGAACTGCTGCAGATGGTACCGGACCCTCGAAGGGGCTCCGGGCACGGGCAGATCCGGAGCCCTGCCTTTGGAGAGCTGGCATCCCCCACTTGTACGGACATCCCCATGCTCAGCCCCAGGAGGGTGCAGCCTAGGGGCAAAGAGGGGCTCTCCAAAAGTCCCGGTGCTATTTCACCAGAGGGCGAGGCTAGGTGCAGCCTGTTTCAGGTATGTCCCCACAGCTTGGAAAGAGGTGCCCCGAGCAGGATGGAAGAACCAGCCGGGCTGGTTTCAGTAGCCCAGAGGCAAGCACAAAAGGAAAGAAAAAGAGCAACAGCCAGACTTAACCAGAACTGAAGGGACTTTCTTATGTCGTGCCCCATGGACAAGCCGGTTTTGGGCAGAGGAGCCAGGCACACGCCCTCTCAACACCCACAGTTTGGCGGAAGTCGGAGCAAAGACGGCTCATACCGGCAAAACATCTGCTCCAAAGAGCCCGCAGGATTCAACCAAGATCCCCCAGCATGGAGCAAGTAACAGCTCCAGGCTCGGCTTTTTTTGGGACACTGGGTTGATCTCAGCTGTGCAGCGCCCCCTTTGCAGAGGTCTGTGGGTGACAGCTGCTTTCAGTCACCTCCCTTCCCCTTTCACCAGGGGTCTAAGCCTCGCCAGGGCTCCCACGCGACTGTCCCGAACGAAGCCTGATGGTGGTGGAAAGCTGTCCCTAAGCAAACAGCTCACCTGTTGGCAACCCGGTCTACCTGCCTGCTATCTATGCAGGGCTGTGCTGTGACTGCCGACAGCATGCTCGCCGGGAAGGGATGCCAGCCCTCCCTGCACTGCACGCGCTCGGTGGGTAGCGACATGCCACGAGCCGCTGCCCAGGCCACAGCAAACATCCGGTGTGTCCATTCCTACCTTTGATTTTTCTGAGACAAGGGAATGAATCGTCCCCACCCCCTTTTTTTCCTTCTCCAGCTCCCTGGTTGCAGCCTTTTGGAAGGTGAAACAGGAAAAAAAACCCCCACAAAGGCAAAGCAAAAAAGAACTCGGTGTGAAATAAACCCTGTCGTTTCACAGGGGAGGGAGGGCGGTGGGATTTTGAACGGGAAAAAAAAAAAAAAAAAAAAAAAAAATCACAAGAGCTTTGCGTGTTTGCAAAAAGTGGCTTTTCAGGACACAAGATGCAAGCCCACTAGTTTTTCTGGCTGGCTGGGATCTCTCTGAAGGCCTCTGGATGCAGCCCCACACACAGGCCAGGGATGGGATTTGCAAAGCAGGGATGTTTCCCCGTGTGCCGACGTGGCCCGTGGTAGATTCCCTGCCAGGGGAAGATTAGAGAGTCCCCACCCCACGCAGCAGCGCTCGTGCCATCCGGCTCATTTTTGTGGTGGCGAAAGCTGTAGTTACAGCTGCCTTGCGACTGCTGTTCGAACCCTCTGCGCTGCCTTCATTCTCCGCTTTTCCATGTCGCTCGATCCTCCCGGGGGCGTTTATTTGGGAAAGACTGGGCAACCCCCAAACGCAGCTGCTCTGAGGGCGGCGTGAAGACCAGAGGGCTCTGCCTACCCTAGCAGCTCAGCACCGTGTCCCTAGCTTCGTCCTCCGCTTTACCAAGGCCTGCTCCGAGCCGAGCTGTCAGCGGCTTGCAGGGATTACAAGCTTGCGGGATTACAAACTCCTCACCTGCTAGTGGTAAAATCAGTGTAGGAAACGAAGGGGCTGCTTTCATACATGCACCCAACGGGAGTTTAAAGCAATGGTTTACGTGGCAGCTGCCTGCAGCGGCGTGCCTCTTTTCCTTTCGTGGAAGTTTCTCCCAGGAGGTCTGTCTCAGGGCACTCTTACCCAGATCAACCCAGTGCGAAGGGTGCTCTGGGACCCCCAAACTAGTTGGGGCACCTGTCTAGGCCTGCAAAGAGCTCCTACCCCCCTCCCCAAGGTTTGCAGGGCTGCTAAATCCCGATCGGGTCACAGCCAACAGAAGAGCTGTACTGACTGAGAAGGTCCCATGATTAATAACGTTTGCTTGCGAATGCGACACAAACCAACTCCAGCACGTGTCTTAAGACCGTGTAGTACGGGGATCGGGGAGTGAAGCATAACTTCGTCTCCCGACTCTGACAGGTACGGGTTAGACAGGCGATGACGGTATTTGGGAACAGGAATTTGACCCAAATCAGAGGAGGGGACTGGGATCTATTGCTGGACTGATGGCAGATCTCGAGAGGTCACGCCATTTCTTTCTGCTGTGTGACTGCCATCAGAGCCATTCACAGGTTCACAACTTCTCTCGGCATTTTTTCCCCACCAAGGCCTGAAGCTTCTTCATGCCTCAGTTTACCCACCTGTAGCATGGGGACAGTGCTGCTGGCTTCCTTTGGAAAGCCCAGATGAAATGTGGATGTAAAAGCCTCGACCAGAGCTGGGGATTAATGGTGTTTTATTTAAAATTAAACAAATTTAATAACTATTCATAAAAGCATTGCCTCAGCATCCAGAACCTCAGATGGGACCTTTTACATAGTCTTAATTGCTTCACACATAATTGACCCCTTAGGGAATTGCACCGATTGCCCTCAGAAGAATTGTACTGCCGGCTTTGCAACAGATACCTGGGCACAGACCAGCCCCTTGCTTATACCCGGTAATACCTCAGCGAGTGAGTCAGCGGTGAAAATCTCATTTCCCAAGAGCCTGCAAGCTGAGCAATGCAGAGGGGGAGGGGATTTTTTTTCTTCCCCACGATTGTAAACCTGTTCTCATTCCCTCTAGCGCCAAGCAACAAGCCAGCGCTTTGGAAAAAGGCGATCTTTGTTAATAAGGCAACAGGCATCATTCATAGCCAGGCCACATTTGACATCTCGAAGAGATCCTCCGGCAAAGCCAAAGGAGGTGCTTCTGGCCAGGACCCCCGGCTCTCCGTCCTGCCCCTGAGCATCCTCACAGCCCACCCGGGAGCTCCCTGCACCTGCCAGCCCCTGCTGCAATCCCCCTTGCCCATTCCTCTCGATGCCACGGCTTTGCCCTCTGCCTTCTTCATGCCACTCTGTGGCTCAGCATCAGGGGCTGCCGGTGGCCAGGGTGAGCCACCCTGGCAGAGAGCAGGTACTCACGGCAATGAGCATCCAGGAAACCAGGCTCCTCTTCATCCTGCAGGTGGATGCTTGCAAAAAGCTGGAGACAAACCTGCTGGGAAGAGGAACACAAAAGGTCACTGGAAAGTCAGCAAACGGTGCCCAAGCAGCTTGGCACCCTCTCATTACGAGCCCACTCAGCCCCGCTGTCCTGTTTATCCCTGCAAATTACAAAGCAACCGGCAGGACATCTCGGGAACCTGGAATCTAACAACCGGAGGCTGGCGGAGCCGGTTCACGGGCTTCCTCTTGCCACGCATGGTCCCTTTGCAGGGAGGGGGGCAGGGGAGAGGGGTGAAAGTCAGCAGCAAACGTGGCCACCAGCCTTGGTAGGTAGGTGCCACTTGCAAAAACAGCTCCTGTATGTAACGAGGGCCTCAAATACAAGAACCCCCCCCTAACCCCAACAAAATGCCCAGCCTCCGTGTGTGTGTGGAGCATGTCCTGCATATGGTGTGTACTGTGTTGCACGGTACATGTGTATGCAGCACGTGTGATGTGCGCCATGCTGCATGTGTGTAGCATGTGATGTGTGCCATGTAGCAAGTGTTGCATGCAGCGTGTTGCACACGTGTAGCACATGCATGGGTAGCATGCGTGTACGAGCTGCTCCCTTTGACAAACATGCCTGGCTGTCTTTGGTGGAAGAAAGATGCTCCCCAAAGTCCTCAGCCACGTCTCCCTGCAGCAGAGGCGGTGCCGTCGTTTCTAATCTCCGCAATGCTCCAAGCCTCTCGCTCTGCGCAGGGAGCTGAATACAGCTCCCGGGAGCCTGGCCTTGGAACGGCGGTGAGGAACGATGCATTTTAGGCATTAATTGTCTCTGCAGAGCCTGCAATGAAATGCCCGGCGAGCTGCATTCATTTAAAAGTGATGGATGCGAAGGCTGGTGAAGCCGCCCCTCCCGTGCCGCAATCGGAGGCATTACTTGGTTGCCAGAAGCACGTCCCCGGACGACTGCACTTGCTTTGCGGAGCTCTCCAGAGCCCTGTGGGGACCCTGGGATCGGGGCCAGCAGCAAAGCAGAGAACAGGAGCTGGCAGCATCTCTGCGCAGTGCAGCGGGAGAGAAACTACAGCGTTACCTCCCAGCTCCACTCGAGTCTGGGGGGTTTGTGTCCTCCTGCTCCACGCAGCCCAGGCTCCCCCCATGGATTTTACTGCATCTTTGAGATGGCATCAGAGCTCCGAGCAGAGCTGTAGCCTCGGGACCGAGTGCCGCATTTCCAGTGTCTCCTAAAAACACCCCAGTCGAGCCATTCCTCTTGCCTCACCTACAAATATCACCCACGAGAGCCATTGCGCTGCCTCCCAGCAATGAAAACCCTGTCCAGGATGCATATGCAGCCACTTGGCTTTTCACCTCTGGCTTCAGAGCATCCCTCAGCATCTGCTACTACCCCAAGAAACCTTTGCCCATCTGATCCTTACTGCTTAGCAGGCAAGCAGCAAGGAGTTCAAAGCATGGGGAAGCAAAGAGCAGCTGGAGGGCACTGGGCATAGGGGATGCGGCTAGGCAGGAGGAGATCAGGTACTAGGAGTCCAGATTACACCCGGCCTGTTCGGATAGCGTCACTGGACAACGCGATTGGCTTTTTGCTGCCTTGGGATGGCAAGGAGCTTGGACATCGATAGCTGGTAATGGCAAAAACCAGCCTGGTGCAACAAAGGGAAACTGAGGCAAGATGGGCAGGCAATGAACAGGCAGCTAGACGCACGCCAGACCGATTGCGGACCTGGGACTCGGGTGTAGCGGGGGGGTGTTCTCGGCGCTAGCACCGACTCCTCGTGACCAAGGGTCCAGGAAGGGTGTTCATCCTTGCCTGGTCGAGGGCCGAGACCTGGGACTCAAGGGTCCCTCTCTGCCCCTAGGCTTGTCACTCCCACAGCTGATCGGAGCTGGCAGCGTCCTGGGTTTGCTTTCTCCGTGGCTCTTCCCATGGAGAAGCTATGATTTCACACCGGAAAGTGGGCACGCTGGACACTAACTAGTGTGAGCAAGGTCACGACTCTCCACGGGAGAGCTAAGCGCCGCCCCTGCAAAGTGACATCCCCAGCCGGCAGCCCGGAGACCCACAACACAACACAACACAGGAAGCGAGGGTGTTGGAGAGATGCTGATTACAGTCATTCAAGCCCATGACCAAACCACTCCCTAATTTCCAAGTAGTGTGTGTTCACGCGGTTCCCCGCAGGCCAGCACCCCCGAGCTGGGGCGAGACCTGCTTCTCCCAAAACCGAATGGACGGAAAAACAGCCGTGCTTCGTTAAATGACAGGAAGAAATGCAAAAGGGAAGTCACAGGGCTGATGCAGCAAAGGAAGCAGGAATCCAAATCAGACCCTGTCGGGACAGGGGAAGCCACGTAGGATCAGCTAAATGCCAAGGATGCCTGGTGCCAAAGCCAACAATTTTACTCCAGTTCCCTTCGCTGCTGTAATACGTACATTCGTTTTGCAACTGGGTGCTACTCAATTCACACGAATTAGGGGAAGGGGTGGGGGGCTCGAGTCCAAAAAGGTTGAGGACCAGAGACAAGAGGCAGGTAGCCGGGTCAGTCTGAAGTCCAGCAGGCAAGGCTGTGTAGCACCTTATAGACTAATTCAGAGAGGCAGGAGCTTTCACAAGCATCTCTGAATTCAGCCTGTCTATAAGGGGCGGCTCTGCCCTGCCTTCTGGACAAGCTCAGTGGGACTGAACCGCAAGGCGGGAGCGGGGTCTGGCCTCTAGGGACTTTCAATTGGGGCATTTTGAAGCCTTAATGCCGAAGCTGGGGAGCAAGGACCTGCAACGAGGGGCTGAATGAATCTGCAAGCTATCAGCCCAGGGCGAGCCGCCCCTGTAACAATTGGCCTCAAAAAGGATGGATGTGACCCAGCCTGGGCCGGACGCCCAAAGCAGCCAGGTTGTAAAGCAGAGCCTCCAGCTTTTTCTTGCTTCTCCAGCCTGAATGCCAAGCAGTAATGGCAGATCTAATTGAATCTAAAGCCAACCCAATTACCTGCCAGCGCACGCAGCCGAGCCCAAGGCAGGCCAAGTGCACCGCGAGATGGGAGGCGATCGATATTTTGATAGATTTCCTTTATTTCCCCTCGTCCGTCCTTCGGGGAGAGGGATGGGCCAGAGGCTGTTCAAGTTCACAGGCTCGTCTCGAAGGCTTCTCGTGAACCCGTTTGCTCTTTTGCCTCAACCGCAACGCAGTCCCAAGAGACCCGCGGCACGCTCGCTTCCAAAGCAGATGAGCACAAGGACACGGCCGTTTTGCCTGGGAAAGGCAAATGCATTCAACTGGGGAGTGTGTAGCAGCCACCTCTCCTAAATGGAGACCTAAAAATACTCCAGGCATCTGAGTATTGCAGGCTGCAGAGGACAAAAGGGTGTGTTGTAGAGGGTGGTATATTTGGAAGGGCATCGAGTCAAAGCAAAGTAGTCCAGGAAGAGAAGTCTAGACCAAAAATGGCAGGGGAGTGGGACCACAAAAACATTTTAGCAAGGCTGCAAGAGCTCTCTCTGATTTAATTACATTAAATTAAATTAGTTGAACTTAATAAAATGATTGAACAAACAGTTTAATTATTAAGAAAAATCTCATTAAAATGAGAAAAAAAAAAAGTAAGGGGTTTGGAGTCCATTTATTTTACGAGACCAACTGTACAGTTGGGAGAGCTGAGAAACAAGGTTTTGGGCCCTTTTCGGTTCGAGGATAGGAGCAGGAGAGGAGGGCTCAGTCCCCATATTGCTTCAGAGCTGTTCTGCACAAAGAGCCACCACCGAGATCGTGCTCCCCACTTCCCAAGGCACTCGGCCGCTCCGTCGCTTGGCTCATTGGAAGGAGAATTATCCAAGAGCCTAAATACGAGAGTCACGGAGCCGGCAATAGGCCACGGTCCTGCCCATGTGGTGCCTGCTAAGAAGCAGCCAGTGTTCGAAAGCAGGATTTGGCCATTAGAGACACTAAGCATCAGACGGCACAGCTCGCAGGGCCCAGGCGTGCATTGGGAGCGCGGAGGGTGCTCGGGTGCATGGAAACGTGCCTCTGCCTCCAGCGCACAGGTACTAGCCACAGCAGAGCCAAGACACCTGCCCAGGTACCCCCCCCGGGCAGCCGACAAGAGGTGGAAAGCACAGCTGTACCCCAAAGCAGACCCTTGGGCTCCAAGTGCCGCCACTCAGCTTGCACAGAAGTTTTTTGACCTGCCGGCATCCCAAATGCAGCTCAGGATGTACGAGTTTGCAGGGGTCCTGCTCTTCTTGCAAGCATGAAGCCTCTAAAGGACTCTCCGGGATCTCTAGAGGAGGCAGCCAGGGTTTGGACAGATGTTGCTGTGTATTGTTCCCAGATTGCCTCTGGCTGCCCCCTGCTTCCAGGGGCTTGTAAAACCCATTTGAGTCTAGCCATTCCCCTCATTTCACCTCCAAAGTCCTCCCCCAGGACAGCAATCGCGCTCTCTCTCAGAGCAGTAACAGTCCTGCCCTCCGGTCCAGCCACTTGACTTGCAACCTTTTGCTTTACAGGCAGACACAGCACCTGGCACCATCTCCGGGGAGCCAGGTCAAGAGGCTTGGTATCCAAGCCAAGGGAGAAGCAGGATGCTGCCGCCACAATGAGCTTTACTGCAAGGCTGGAAGACACGCATATCGTGCTCCTTCCCCAAGTGGTCTTATTCAGGCACGCCGTTGTGCCTCCTGTAGCGAGAGAAGCTGCAATTTAAAGATGTTCTCTAACAAAAGGAGACCGAAGAAGATGGTCATTAGGAGACGGCCCCACAGTTAAATTTAGTGCTGCTCAATGTTTCAGGTCCGTGAGGCAGATGAATGGCACGGGACGGTCCACAGGCTGGATCGGACCCTGCACTACCCCCACCCATGTGCATCAGGCCCTAGGTGCTGCGCTGCCCCAATTAAGTCCCAGTGCCAAGACCCTGGGACCTTGCGCCACCCCACATGCTGCAATCGAGCCCTCACATTGCCTTGCGTGCCAGATCTAGTGCTCAGGGTTATGGCTTGTGGGGCTCCCCATGTACCTGTGGAGAGCCCCGCGGGCCAGATCTGA